ATTCCAAACTGTAACCTTTGTAATCCCGAATCTTTCCTAGTTTGGTTTCATTTAACTACATTTTAAAATGTACTATTATTGTATAATTTTCTACTGTTCAATTTTACTTTGTTTATTTTGAAGATGAGATGAAGTTCTAAGCAAAACCCTTTCACTATGAAGCAAAATATAAGTAATTTAACCAAGTTGACATAACCATATTCCAAACTGTAACCTTTGTAATCCCGAATCTTTCCTAGTTTGGTTTCATTTAACTACATTTTAAAATGTACTATTATTGTATAATTTTCTACTGTTCAATTTTACTTTGTTTATTTTGAAGATGAGATGAAGTTCTAAGCAAAACCCTTTCACTATGAAGCAAAATATAAGTAATTTAACCAAGTTGACATAACCATATTCCAAACTGTAACCTTTGTAATCCCGAATCTTTCCTAGTTTGGTTTCATTTAACTACATTTTAAAATGTACTATTATTGTATAATTTTCTACTGTTCAATTTTACTTTGTTTATTTTGAAGATGAGATGAAGTTCTAAGCAAAACCCTTTCACTATGAAGCAAAATATAAGTAATTTAACCAAGTTGACATAACCATATTCCAAACTGTAACCTTTGTAATCCCGAATCTTTCCTAGTTTGGTTTCATTTAACTACATTTTAAAATGTACTATTATTGTATAATTTTCTACTGTTCAATTTTACTTTGTTTATTTTGAAGATGAGATGAAGTTCTAAGCAAAACCCTTTCACTATGAAGCAAAATATAAGTAATTTAACCAAGTTGACATAACCATATTCCAAACTGTAACCTTTGTAATCCCGAATCTTTCCTAGTTTGGTTTCATTTAACTACATTTTAAAATGTACTATTATTGTATAATTTTCTACTGTTCAATTTTACTTTGTTTATTTTGAAGATGAGATGAAGTTCTAAGCAAAACCCTTTCACTATGAAGCAAAATATAAGTAATTTAACCAAGTTGACATAACCATATTCCAAACTGTAACCTTTGTAATCCCGAATCTTTCCTAGTTTGGTTTCATTTAACTACATTTTAAAATGTACTATTATTGTATAATTTTCTACTGTTCAATTTTACTTTGTTTATTTTGAAGATGAGATGAAGTTCTAAGCAAAACCCTTTCACTATGAAGCAAAATATAAGTAATTTAACCAAGTTGACATAACCATATTCCAAACTGTAACCTTTGTAATCCCGAATCTTTCCTAGTTTGGTTTCATTTAACTACATTTTAAAATGTACTATTATTGTATAATTTTCTACTGTTCAATTTTACTTTGTTTATTTTGAAGATGAGATGAAGTTCTAAGCAAAACCCTTTCACTATGAAGCAAAATATAAGTAATTTAACCAAGTTGACATAACCATATTCCAAACTGTAACCTTTGTAATCCCGAATCTTTCCTAGTTTGGTTTCATTTAACTACATTTTAAAATGTACTATTATTGTATAATTTTCTACTGTTCAATTTTACTTTGTTTATTTTGAAGATGAGATGAAGTTCTAAGCAAAACCCTTTCACTATGAAGCAAAATATAAGTAATTTAACCAAGTTGACATAACCATATTCCAAACTGTAACCTTTGTAATCCCGAATCTTTCCTAGTTTGGTTTCATTTAACTACATTTTAAAATGTACTATTATTGTATAATTTTCTACTGTTCAATTTTACTTTGTTTATTTTGAAGATGAGATGAAGTTCTAAGCAAAACCCTTTCACTATGAAGCAAAATATAAGTAATTTAACCAAGTTGACATAACCATATTCCAAACTGTAACCTTTGTAATCCCGAATCTTTCCTAGTTTGGTTTCATTTAACTACATTTTAAAATGTACTATTATTGTATAATTTTCTACTGTTCAATTTTACTTTGTTTATTTTGAAGATGAGATGAAGTTCTAAGCAAAACCCTTTCACTATGAAGCAAAATATAAGTAATTTAACCAAGTTGACATAACCATATTCCAAACTGTAACCTTTGTAATCCCGAATCTTTCCTAGTTTGGTTTCATTTAACTACATTTTAAAATGTACTATTATTGTATAATTTTCTACTGTTCAATTTTACTTTGTTTATTTTGAAGATGAGATGAAGTTCTAAGCAAAACCCTTTCACTATGAAGCAAAATATAAGTAATTTAACCAAGTTGACATAACCATATTCCAAACTGTAACCTTTGTAATCCCGAATCTTTCCTAGTTTGGTTTCATTTAACTACATTTTAAAATGTACTATTATTGTATAATTTTCTACTGTTCAATTTTACTTTGTTTATTTTGAAGATGAGATGAAGTTCTAAGCAAAACCCTTTCACTATGAAGCAAAATATAAGTAATTTAACCAAGTTGACATAACCATATTCCAAAACCTTTGTTATCCCGAATCTTTCCTAGTTTGGTTTCATTTAACTACATTTTAAAATGTACTATTATTGTATAATTTTCTACTGTTCAATTTTACTTTGTTTATTTTGAAGATGAGATGAAGTTCTAAGCAAAACCCTTTCACTATGAAGCAAAATATAAGTAATTTAACCAAGTTGACATAACCATATTCCAAAACCTTTGTTATCCCGAATCTTTCCTAGTTTGGTTTCATTTAACTACATTTTAAAATGTACTATTATTGTATAATTTTCTACTGTTCAATTTTACTTTGTTTATTTTGAAGATGAGATGAAGTTCTAAGCAAAACCCTTTCACTATGAAGCAAAATATAAGTAATTTAACCAAGTTGACATAACCATATTCCAAAACCTTTGTTATCCCGAATCTTTCCTAGTTTGGTTTCATTTAACTACATTTTAAAATGTACTATTATTGTATAATTTTCTACTGTTCAATTTTACTTTGTTTATTTTGAAGATGAGATGAAGTTCTAAGCAAAACCCTTTCACTATGAAGCAAAATATAAGTAATTTAACCAAGTTGACATAACCATATTCCAAAACCTTTGTTATCCCGAATCTTTCCTAGTTTGGTTTCATTTAACTACATTTTAAAATGTACTATTATTGTATAATTTTCTACTGTTCAATTTTACTTTGTTTATTTTGAAGATGAGATGAAGTTCTAAGCAAAACCCTTTCACTATGAAGCAAAATATAAGTAATTTAACCAAGTTGACATAACCATATTCCAAAACCTTTGTTATCCCGAATCTTTCCTAGTTTGGTTTCATTTAACTATATTTTAAAATGTACTATTATTGTATATTGTTCTACTGTTAGAGTTCAATTTTACTTTGTTTATTTTGAAGATGAGATGAAGTTCTAAGCAAAACCCTTTTTCTATGAAGCAAAATATAAGTAGATACTATGAATTGAAGGAAGATTAGTATAGAATGTTTACAAGAAACTAAGTCGGTAGGTAATAATAATAAAGCAAGGGGTACAGAAATACTATGTATAAAATTTACTATATTGGTAAAGATAGACGTAGAAATGGTGTATGAATAACTGTAGTTAAACATCTTAAATATAAGGTAGTAATAGTCACAATAGAATAATGCTAATTAACCTTGTATTTGGGGAAAGCATAATTGATGTGATTAGATGAAGTTCTAAACGAAACCTTTTTTTTATGCCGCAAAATATAAGCAAATATTAAGTTATGTACTGTATTTGTGAACAAGAAGAAACCCGTAATTTTGTTGTTTTCATAGAACATACTACTAGAAAGCACGGATACGGCGATACAGCAAAATCTAAAAAAGTAAGATACGGGTATAGCTAGGATACGTTTGTAAAAAATAAAAAAATTATTAGCAGAGTTACACATAAGCTCAAGAATGCTGAGAAATCACAGTAACTTTATAATACAAAATACTAATATTTGAGAATTAGGTATTACTTTAAGGCAGTAGCTAGTTTAGTTTTTTAATTTTCAGTAGGTCTTGCAAATATTTCATTTCAATATCTAATATGTTGATATTATAATATCAAAACAATCCACAACTTGACCTTATACTTTTTCTTTTTGCACTAGTCAAAAATATTCTATGCAAGTTTATTTGCTTATTTATTTATTGATATTTAATTTTACTATTGTTATATTATCTTATTAATCCTTACTTCTATATAGTTATAGGGGACATGCATGATACAATGAAGATATGTCAATTTGATGAATTCTATTACTTTAGCTTACTATGTTATTTTTATAAAAAAACTAAGCAAAGTATTGTAAAAATATTCTATTTATCCTCGCAATTATATTATATTATGAAGTTATGCAAGAAATGATACAATTCTAATTTCCTAAAAGGAGTAATATGTGACTTGAAGCATTTGATACTTAAAATTAATTAAGAAGTATCCGATAATATGTGACTTGGAGTATCCGATACTTCAAAATTAATGAAAAATTAATTAAGAAGTATCCGATACTTTCAATAAGTATCTGATACGTATCCGTAAGTATCGGTATCTGATATAGATACGTCTTCCTATTTGAAATATCTGTGCTTCATAGTAAAAAATAAAAAAATTATTGACGTATCCCAGCCGTACCCTTATCCTATTTTTTTTAGGTCTTACTGTATCAGTGTACCCGTATTGTATCCGTACGAGTATCCATACCCGTACTTCATAGCTTGGCATATGCCACTGAAACTTGACACCAAACTCCATTTAATGGGTTAATGACAATTTTACCTACTATCAACAAAATGTGTTACCATCAAATGTGCCTGGAGTCTATACAAGTCCATATAAAAAGAAAAAGAAAAAAGATTCATGTGTCAAATAAACAGCTTCATTTTCTCTGTTATTATTTCATTACTTATTTTATTAACCTGGTCTACCTTTTAAATTAATCATACAATTGAAACTGTAAATAAATTATGGTTCCTGAAGGCCCATGTATCAGCCACCTATGATCACATAGTCCTTCTAAACTTGTTCCATGTACCATGAGAACTATTTGCAGTTCATCTACCTATTTAGATTGATTAAATGTTCACTCCAACTGAAAGTTGTAACAATATCAAATAGCATGTTGGCTGTAATACAGGTATTTAAAACAAAGAAAATGAAAAGCAGTTCCAAAACAACAACAAAAATGAAAGATAACTTGGATTCTGATACACACCTTTACAAAATGCCAGTCCTTCAAATATAATGGGGACTTGGCATCAAACTCATGGGTTGATGCATTATCGAACTCCTTAGAAGAAAACTCAAGCCAATAGTCGATGAACTCAGAAACTGACATTTCTACTCTCTTCTGATCTGTAAACTCTCTAGTACCACAGTCTGCAACCTGTAAGAGACAATTATCACATGAAGTTTTCAAGTGAAAAGCTACAGGATGCACTGCCAAATGTCATCGCAAAAAAAAAGAAGAAGAAGAAGAAGAAGAAGAAGAAGAAACCGACATAAAAAATAAAAAATAAAAGCTCAACGTCTCAAGTTATTTGGTTCATTGAGATTATTTGAAAAAACTAAAACTATACAACCACACCAAGTCTTTATATATATGTAAGAAGTCCAACACATGATTTAAAACCTAACACCCAAGTGTCATGCATATTGTTTTCCAATTCACCAAATTGGATGCGAGAATCAACCATTAGATGTGCAATATAGCCTGATATTCATGTTAGGTGATCCATAATTCCTGCCATTATACTGTTATTTCCCTGTCCTCAAATTTTTTCTAGCTTAGTTTTCTGAAATTAATGTTATAGTCATATAGTCATATAGAGAAGTGAAGAATGCACCTTGTTTCCATCAGCTCACATTAGAATGTTTCAGACACAAACACACTTTCATGCACACACAAAAATGCCATTGGTAGCACAGACAGACATTGAGTACATCAATGTCTCTTCTTCGATGATGGAAGAACAAATTCAGTTCATTCAACTTCCTCTTAGTTTGTGTTTGTGCAAATGAGAAACACTTCCTCGAAATTTTAACAACTTAAAAACCGTTGTCCATAAACCTTAATGGGTATATTAAGATCATTAATGTGGAAAATTCATAGTAATATTTCAAATAGCTATCAATCTAGACCTCAAATTCAATTTTCTCCAGAAAATCATTCACATAAGTATCTGTACACATAAGTACATGCATATTATACCTGAGTGTATATAAGGGATAGCAAACAAGAAGTTCCATTGAACAAACACACAAACAAGCCAAAATTTCAAGTGGGTATAAGCTTATTAGGGCCTGTTTGATTGGGCAGGCGAATCATAGGATAGGACTGGATTATTAATTCATGTGACTCACATTCCATTGTTTCGTTGCAATTTTTATCATTGGGATTAGATTCACATGGACATTCTATTTAACAAAATTGGTAATTTTTTTAATTCTACAACTAATAATACAAAACAAGCATATAATTGCGATTATATTTCCATGTCCATTGCAAAATAAACACGAACAAGAGAAAATTATTTATCGCGATAATATAACTAATCTTACACTAATTTCATGAATTATTAATCCCCACACTATTAATCCTATGGCCTTAAGGTAAAACCCATATATATATATCGATATGTATATATTGAATTTGGGCAAGAATCACATACCTGAACTGTGGAATTACTAAAATGGGTAGAGAAGAAACTGAGATTAGGCTGTCCATCGTCGAGGACCCAATCCTTACATGCCCTCCAACCATCCATGAGTCCAGTGAGAACAACTGGTTGGTTCTTCACGAGGTATCGCTCTACGAATTGACTGTAACTCAGCTCTTTTCCATTCACCTTCTCTATGTGTCCTCCAATTTTCAGACCCATTTTCTGGGTTTCAGGTTCTGTTGTGTTCTTGTTTGGGGGTAGAGAAAATAAAATAAAATGCCGCATTTTCATTCTTCTCGGGTCGGGTTTCACAACCTGCCCGGCTGTCCCAGTTTTATGGGTTTCATTATTCCGGGTTTCAAATTGGCCTCGTTTGGAACTGATAGTTTTAGTTTAAAAGTTTTATGGGTTTCATTATTCCGGGTTTCAAATTGGCCTCGTTTGGAACTGATAGTTTTAGTTTAAAAGTTAAAATATTATTAAGAAAATTAGAAAAATTGTAATCTATATTAAAAAGTCATTCTAAATATATAAGTTATTTATTTTATATTTTAATTAAAAAGTTAAAAAATTAATAAAATAGTCTATTCTTAAATAAGGTCTTAATTTTTTCAAATTTTTTTTTTTTTTGTGTGTGTGTGTGTGTGTGTGTGTGTAAGTGTTGTCATAATAAACATAAAATTGATCAAAATGATAATTCTATATTGTTTTTGGGTAATTAGGTCTAGCCCATAATGTTTGTGGACCGAAGGCCCGAACTTCCATACTTCAATTTATTGGTTTAAAAAAAAAAGACTTTTCAAATAAATAAATTGCCCTCACCCCTCTCCTGAGGTTTAAAAGGTGCTAAGCATACAAAAGGCTCCAAAAACATAATACATGAATGTGAGATAACAAAATATTTGCACATGGAGTTGTAAACCTGTTCGCATATATGTGTCACGTTTGTACATTATATATTTGGAACTTTCTATACTCTTAAATTTTTCCATAAAAGCTTGTTTGTTTGATCGTGCGAATGGTGGGATTGGAGAGTTCAGATTCCCTTCTTGACTTCTCTCCTTAACTTCCTACGTGCAACGACTCTGATGCCTCAATCCAAATCCAACGGTCCAGATCTTGAAGAGAAAAAAAAAAAAAAAAAACAAATTGGAACTAAAATTTTCCTGTCCAAAGCTATACAGGTTATATACATTTTGTTTTGGAACTCACTCTCACTTAGCCTCACACTTATCCCTTCTTCCCCACTCAACCCACCCTTCACTCAAGGTGGATTGAATCTGTCTGCTTCGCAAACCAGAGCTCTCACGCTCTTCTCCTCCACCTCACCGAACCTGTCTCACCGGCGACCTTCTCAACGGCAACCCACTCCCCAAACCTAACCCATTGCTTTGCCCTCATTCTCTCTGCCCTCACTTCGCGAACCAGAGTTCCCTTGTGAGCAAACCAGTCTCTGTAGCTTCAAACACCCAAAGTTTGAGTCCGACGTCAATCATCCATAAGTTAGTCTTCATTGTCTCTGTAATTGATTATTTCAGCTTCATGTTTAAGGATGGAATTATTTTGTTTTGTTTTGATTTTCAGCAACATATTTGGTTAATGATGGATTATTTAAGTTTTTGATTTTAGTTTAAAAATCTGCTACTATGTGTTTAAGCTTTTCTCACAATGATTAAGGATTGAATTTTTTTTTTTATATTTTCAGCAGCAGATTTGGTGAAGTATGGATTATTTAAGTTTTTGATTTCAGCTTAAAAATCTGGTACTGTGTGTTTAAGCTTTTCTTACAATGATTAAGGATGGAATTGTTTTGTTTTGTTTTTTGATTTTCAACAGCAAATTTGGTGCTGTGTGTTTTTAAGGATGGATTATTTTTAGTTTTTGATTTGTGCATCACAATCTCTTGCTGTATGTTTAAACTTCTCTTATATGATTAAGGATGGAATTGTTTTGTTTTGTTTTTGTTTTTATTTTTGTTTTTATTTTTTTCTGTAGCAAATATAACTTATATGACTTATCTGTAGTTAAGATTTGAGTTATATGGCTTTTCAGTTTCATTTTGATATGAATATGGAACTTGAGAATGATTGTGCTTGGAAGTCAAAACAAGAAATGACATTTGATTTAGAATAAGAAGCGTATAATTTTTATAATGTATATGAAGGAAGAATGGGGTTTAGCATAAGCAGGGATTATTCTAGGAAGAACAAGTTCACTAACCAACTTATTACTAGACTTTTGGTTTACAACAAGGAGGGATTTCGGAAGATTGACAAGCGCAACCCATTGACAAAAAACCCTAGAGTTAAAACTAGGACTAGTTGTGAGGCTCGACTTTATGTTAAATTAGATGAGGGTACGGGGAAATTTCTTGTGACTGATTTCAAAGAAAAACACAACCATAAACTTGTATTAGTCGAGTGTGCCCACATGTTGCCGTCACAAAGAAAGATATAAACTACCCAAGCAATTGAGTTAGATTTGGCCGCATAATCAGGTCTTCGTTTAGGCCAGACTTTTGAACTCATGGGTAGGGAAGTCGGTGGGAGACAATGTCTTGGGTTTACCAAATTAGACCAAAAAAATTATTTGAGAACCAAAAGACAACAAAGTTTAGCATATAGGGAAGTAGGCAATGTGTTGTAATATTTTAAAGAAAAATCTTTGCAGAATCCTTCTTTTTTTTTTTTTTTTACTTTCTAGTTAGATAATGAGGAGCTAAAAACTAATATGTTTTGGGCCGATACACAAATGATCATGGATTATGCCTAATTTGGTGATGTAGTTACATTTGACATGACTTACAAGTTGAACAAAGAACATAGATCCTTTGCATCTTTTGTGAGATTCAACCATCATAAGGAAATAGTTATATTTGGTGTAGCTTTGTTGTATGATGAGACCGCCGAATCGTTTATATGGTTGTTTGAAACTTTTTTAGAGACTATGTCAAGAAAGGCATCGAAAACTTTGTTCATCGATCAAGATGCTGCAATGGCTAAAGCCATACCCATTGTTATGCCTGGAACGAGTCACCGATTGTGTACTTGGCATTTGATGCAAAATGCATTAAAATATGTTAATTGTCTCTTCCAAGATAAGAGGGTAAAGGGTGTACTAAATAAATTCACGTTTCACATTGAAAATGAAAATGAATGAAAGTTAGAGTGGGCTGAAATGCTTGATAAATATGATGCTCATGATAACCATTGGTTGAAATTGACTTTTGCGGTGAAAGAAAAATGGGGCTGGCCATATGTTAGATCGACATGGGCTGCGGGAATGAGTACCACACAACTTAGTGAATCTTTTAATGCTCTTTTGAAGGATTACATTCGTTCTGATTTTAATTTAAATGAATTCTTCATGCATTTTGAAATGGTACTTTATGAGAAGCGATATAAAGAGTTATAAGTAGGATATGCTTTGTGCCAAAGGTGAAAGCGACAATAATAATGTTAATTCAAATGGGTAATGTGTACACAAAAAAGGTTTTGAGGAGTTCCAAATTGAGTACTTTTGTTCCGTTGAATCGGACATAGAAGCAATTGAATATGACGAGTATAACAAACCCGACCCGTGATTAGCTTAACACATATGATTAAGAATGCCTAGACAGTAATTAAGCAGATATTTTGAATTAATTGCATATGTGTTGCATTATTTGTGTTTCTATCTATCTATCATAGAAAGATCTGCTTGTGATTATGTTTCGTTCCGCGAATTGAAGGCCTTATCGGCATCCGATCACGAAATTGACTTGGTTTCTATGTTAGTTAGAATTTATAAAATTTTATGGTAAGTTTAATTCAAATTCGATTTGGAGCAATTAAATTAGAATAATTAATGTCTATTTGATTAGTTTTAATCAAGTCTCATTAACCAAGCCTATATAAGGCACAATGACCTCTAAAACACACTTTACACACTCTCATTCCTTCACCTTGAGGCAACAAACGTAGAGAGAGAGGGAGAGAAGAGAAGATTGAGTTCAATTAGGAGATTTGCTAAAGACTTGGAGGGTTTGACTTAGAAACTTAATCAATTAGCCATCTAGAGTTCAATTACGCATTTAAGGTAAGAATTCAACCCTTCAGCTTGAGCTGAAGTTATTTAATGCATGAATTTAAGGGATTCAAGATGAGGATAACATGAATTAAGCTAGAACGTTTAAAAGAAGAGCAAGTCATGCATGCAAGCATAATTCTCATGATTTTGAAGTTGGATTCAAAGAATTACCTCTTGCATGTCCTTATTTTGGCCTTGTTTAATGAATTCAACATGTTTTTGACCTAAACATCTCATTTGCTCATGATTTGGAAACTTGGAGCGCAAATCATTTCATGCATGTCATGTTCATGTTATGTTTTCACATTTCAAGCTTGAGTTTGCACAATTGACATGCTTATGGGCCTTGATTTCATGAAATGGTCTTTAATTCTCTATGTTTTACAAGTTTAGACATGTTTTCTCAAGTTTTGGGGCCCAAAGGTTGCATTTTAAAGCTTTGAATTCCAGTTTGGAACTTGGGAGTACAATTTGAAAATTTCAGACTTATTGTAGCTCGACTTTTCGTGCTCCTTTCAGATACGATATGTCATGACCCGAACCTGCCCCTATGGGTTAAGGACATAACCGGCCAGTAATCCTGAGATTACCTACGGCCTCAAACCTTAACAGACATAACTCATCAGAGTAAAGGGGCCAAACGGAAGCAAAAATTTAAAACTTTGTCCATGGAGCCGTGCTTATATGCACTCAAAACAACCCATGCACATATACGTTAATAACCTACAACAAGTACAGTATCACAAAATCCTTTACAGACAGGATCATCCAAACTGAGTCAACCCATATCAAAACTATGTACAGATGTACACAAAGTCCTTGCCAACAAGACAAAATATAAATACATAACAAAATGGCAAAGATGGGTCTCGTACGTGAGACACAAGGCTGACTCTCCAAAACTCATGTTGTTCCTGGCAGACTTCATTGGGGCTGGGCTTGGACTTCCCTCGGCTCACCTACAAACACATGAATGAGCGTGAGTGATAGCCTAATGAATAATATCGAATACATAAGTTACATAAGCAATATGAAGAACAACATGCTCCGAACGGCCTTGGGCCCAATGCATATTTCTGCTTAACATATATACACTTATACAAAATTCAGATCAAATGACTGTAGTTCCAAACATACTAGCCTTTGGCCCAATCAGATTTCCATTCATGTCAAAACGGCCTTCGGCCCATTCATTTATG